CTTCAATAGACATTTAACTGACTATAAGAAACTTTGCAATGTCAACTTGCACTTACCCTAACAGTCTACTTATAATCTAATGAGAATTATTTGGCATGTAGATGCAATGTAAATTAAATTCAACAAACAGACCATCAAAATAAAGTGTGACCAATTGGTGTTATAATTGTTGCAATCAATATTGTTATTAACACTACTTTTTATATTGTCTTTTTTGTTTTTACCCTGCTAAGTACACTATGAACCTTTAAAACTATGTTTTCTGAATAAAATGCTGACATGTTCAATACTTATCTCCACCCCTGTCATGCTAATAAAGTATATTTAATTTTATTGAGTGTGTGTGTGTGTGTGTGTGTGTGTGTGTGTGTGTTTATATAGTAAACGCTGTGGTTTGAAATGTTCATATGTTCTTATTTGTTATATTGTTTATTCAAGGTTTAATTGCTTTGATATTTTCTTTTATTGCTATTATATTTTTAGAATTGTCCACTTCAAGCTTTAGCACTATTGTCATGCCAATAAAGCAGTTTTTTAATTGAGTTGAATATATTCAGTCGAAGTCGCCCCGCTATGATTTTATTATTCGCCTAATTAACCTAGTTAAGCCTTTAAATGTCACTTTAAGCTGAATACTAATATCTTGAAGAATATCTAGTCAAATATTATTTACTGTCAGCATGGCAAAGATAAAATAAATCAGTTATTAGAGATGAGTTATTAAAACTACTATGTATAGAAATGTGTTGAAAAAATCTCTCTGTTCAACAGAAATTGGGAAAAATATAAATAAACAAGGGGCTAAAAATTTTGGGGGGCTAATAAACTGTATCATGACTTCAACTGTATATATATATATATATATATATATATATATATATATATATATATATATATATATATACACAAATAGAGAGAAAGAGACAAACCAGTCAGAAACATTATTAAAAAACCATCTGCATGAATGTACATGTATTGAATTTCTCCTTTTATTAATCACACTGGTCTTTTTTCTTATTTGTACATGTATTTATCAAAATTCTTATTGTGTTTTTGTGTTTGTGTGTACTATATAATCACTTTACAAATATATCATTTATGAATATGCAATGCTTTGGCAATATTTGTAAATGCACCTGAATGTGGGAAGTCTCCTGTGCACGCATGCACGAACGAACGCACGCACGCACACACGCACGCACGCACGCACGCACGCACGCACACACGCACGCACACACGCACGCACACACGCACGCACACACGCACGCACGCACACACACACGCACACACGCACACATACACACACACACACACACACACCTCTCTGTGTCACACAGGTAGCAGCGGCTGAGGGACGAGATCACCAGGTGTCCATCAGTGTATCCAAGCTGAACCACGCGGGAATCCACTGTGGTGACGGTCTGAACTGGGAAGATCACAAACGCTGAGCCCTGATTAGAAGTAAAAAAGGACAGAGAGAGAAAGAGATGGCTATTCTTAAAAAGGAGAATCAGCACATTAGTACAAGACTGAGGTAATGATGCTGAAAATTCAGCTCTTCATCACAGAAATAAATTGTCTTGAAGCACAAATGAAACCAAAACAAAGCATACAGATTTAGCTAGCTCACATCACTAGTTTTGTGGTTAACAATTCTTCTGTGCATGTCATTAAGAGAAAAAAACATTTGCCGCTGCAATCTAAAATTGAAATCTGAAAATGCACTTCCTGTTTGTTTTCAGTTTAATTCTCAGATAAGGTCTTTCTGAGGTATTGGACGGGGCTAACATACTGAAACACGCCCCCTGCAGCTGTCAGTTTTAACAACAAGCAGAAATGGTGAGCAGTGGTCCGTTCTTCGTACGTGGATTACTCAGTTAGCTGGATTTAGTACGATTTGACATGATACAGGATCGTTTTGTTGTTCAAAACTGATCTGAGAGTTGTTATTATAGCAACAGCTCTGGAAGCTCAAACCTGGTCAGGAGCAGGCTCATTTCATATATACAGGATTAGATCGGGTCAGTTCAAGCAAAGAAAATACTGAAACTATGTACCAAATTCTGATATTAAGTAGTAGTTATATACACTTGGGAAAATAGTAGATATTTTAACCATATATATATATATATATATAAAGTTACATATATACATATATATATTAATAAAACGTATGCAATCTGCACCCCCGAAAGAACAAATGAAAGAACAAAGACTGCCACCTGCTGGTGCAAAGAGAAAACTTATTGATATGAACTTTTTAGATCGCTTTAGTCCAATTTGAGTATGATAATAGACACAACATGTGACTTTTTTTTAAAAAGCAATGATCCATTTATGCAGTCATGAACATGTTTTGACAGTTAATATGGCGGTGATTTGATGCTTCAAAAAAGTTGCAGACGCCTTTACCAATGTCAAAACACTTTTGTAAACATCCAGGTATTCTATAATAAGGAAAAATGGCTATAACAGTAAAACTAAATCAATTGCTCTTGACACATGAAAGGGCCAAACATGCAGCCCACAACAAGGTGTAAAGTTATTGCGTATCATATTTAACAAACCGTTTACTACGAATTTTAATGTCATTTTGCTCACATGGAAAAATAAATATTAATCCGATGATGTCATTATGCTGCAATATAAATGAAAAAAAAAAAAAATATATATATATATATATATATATATATATATATTTTTTTTTTATTAAATTATATGTATTATTATTAAATATTATGTATTTGATGTCCATTGTAATGGATGCAGGGTCTGAAGGGGTTAAACAGAAATTGGGGGAAAAAAATAAACAGGGGGCCGAATAATTCAGGGTTGCTAATAATTCTGACTTCAACTGTATAAGACAAAGTTGCATATAAAAAATAAATAAAATTAATTATACTAATAACGACCAGTAAGATAAAGATCACAGAGAAAAAACAAAAAAGAATAAATAAAGCAATACAGTGACTTCTGAAGATAATCAAATATAATAATAATAATAATAATAATTATTATTATTATTATTATTATAATAATAACAGTTCACAGGGTTAGATTGCATGATCCCATTTCCTGTTAATCTAGTATAAGTTTTCTTAAACAGCACAAATAAATACATCCTTAGTGAGTAGAAAGACTTCATTTTAAAAAACATTGAATCATATGTCAATGGAAAAGATCACATACATTGTCAAAAAGAAACTAAATGTGCTTGAAGATATCTGGAGACCTTTTAATAACTTCCTAAAGTACAATGTAAATGTTGACAGTCTGCTACAACAAGAACAAGCTTAGGAATATGGGAAGTCTCATGGTCTAAACAGACTCAGGAAACACTCTCTACCTGATTTAAACAAATTCCCTTTTTTATTATTTTTTTATTATTATTAAATTTATTTATTTGTTTGTTTATTTATTTTTATTTAATTATTTTTTTTCTTTTTTTAGGGGAATGGGTTGTTGGGAGGGAGAATGGGGGGTGAAAAGTTTGCTGTGCCTTCATGATTATTATTCTGTAATTGTGTAATCTGTTGTGATATGCAAATTGACAAAAAGTAATAAATATATTGTACAAAAAAAAAACATTGAATAATCCAACAACCCCAAGTTTGTAATTGTATCATCTACATGACTTTTTGTACCTTGCCGAGTTTAGATGACCCAGCCCGGACGCAGGACACCTTCCCACCCATATCTCCAGCAAACACCCGGAGGGCCACGGTGTCCCAGCACAGGGATGTTACGGTCACTCCACGGTGCTCCCAAGACACAGAGGCGCGTTCCGGACGTCCACGGCGCTCCAGATGAAGCTCCCACACCACCACCAAACCCTGACTAAGGAAAACACACAACAGAAGAGTCCAGACTGGAGAACACAGACTCCTGGAGAACATGTACATGAAGGATTAAGAGGAATACCTGGTGGCCACAGCGATGAAGTCCTCATCATGAGGGCAGCAGGAGACCTGCGTGATGGAGCCTTCCTGGAAAAGATGAAAAAAAAAACAAACAAGGGATTTTAGTTTACACTTTTTATTGTTTTTGCCATATTTTTTTTATTTTCATCGACACTTTGCAAATATATTTGTTTTACAACAATGATCTGTGTGCATTTACACCGTATACAAAATAAAAGGATATGTATATATTTTAAAAACTACTTAAAAACAACTAAATGCTCCTCCTTTTTTGGTTAAATCCATTTAAATGTGACTATTATAGTCATACTGAGTTCAAGGTCCAACAAACGTGTACTGAAGTGTATCAGTACAGATCTGTGAGACTGGAACTGCATTGTCCACACAAAAATTATTCATCAACTTCTTCCTCTGTTAATTCCACATCTCTGATGTAACCGATGAAAGGACTCCACACGTTTTCGAATACATGCTGTTTAGCTTTTAGTATGCAAGTTATCTTTTCTAATGGCAGACTTGACAACATCTGTCTTATCCATTGAGTAGTGTTTGGTCTTTGCATATTTGTCCATAGCAAAGCTTCATATCTTTTAGCATAAAGTAAGCTGAGGTCTATAAATACTTGTTTGCTTCTATAATTTGCGTTCTCTGGGTATACACTTTCATGTTTTTATAACATGAATTTGTTTTTGTCATTTTTATGCTCTCTGTCATTTTTTTTTTCATGCATCTGTATTCTGTATTTTGTTCATACCATTATTTATTTTATGCATCTGTATTCTGTATTTTGTTCATACCATTATTTATTTTATGCATCTGTATTCTGTATTTTGTTCATATCATAATTTTTTCATGCATCTGTATTCTGTATTTTGTTCATACCATTATTTATTTTATGCATCTGTATTCTGTATTTTGTTCATATCATTATTTTTTCATGCACCTGTATTCTGTATTTTGTTCATACCATTATTTTTTTCATGCACCTGTATTCTGTATTTTGTTTATATCATTATTTTTTTCATGCATCTGTATTCTGTATTTTGTTCATACCATTATTTTTTTCATGCATCTGTATTCTGTATTTTGTTCATATCATAATTTTTTCATGCATCTGTATTCTGTATTTTGTTCATATCATAATTTTTTCATGCATCTGTATTCTGTATTTTGTTCATACCATTATTTATTTTATGCATCTGTATTCTGTATTTTGTTCATATCATTATTTTTTCATGCACCTGTATTCTGTATTTTGTTTATATCATTATTTTTTCATGCATCTGTATTCTGTATTTTGTTCATACCATTATTTTTTTCATGCACCTGTATTCTGTATTTTGTTCATATCATTATTTTTTCATGCATCTGTATTCTGTATTTTGTTCATATCATTATTTTTTTCATGCATCTGTATTCTGTATTTTGTTCATATCATAATTTTTTCATGCATCTGTATTCTGCATTTTGTTCATACAATTATTTTTTTCATGCACCTGTATTCTGTATTTTGTTCATATCATAATTTTTTTCATGCATCTGTATTCTGTATTTTGTTCATATCATAATTTTTTCATGCATCTGTATTCTGTATTTTGTTCATATCATTATTTTTTCATGCATCTGTATTTTGTTCATATCATTATTTTTTCATGCATCTGTATTCTGTATTTTGTTCATACCATTATTTTTTTCATGCATCTGTATTCTGTATTTTGTTCATATCATAATTTTTTCATGCATCTGTATTCTGCATTTTGTTCATACAATTATTTTTTTCATGCATCTGTATTCTGTATTTTGTTCATACCATTATTTTTTCATGCACCTGTATTCTGTATTTTGTTCATACCATTATTTTTTCATGCACCTGTATTCTGTATTTTGTTCATACCATTATTTTTTCATGCATCTGTATTCTGTATTTTGTTCATACCATTATTTTTTTCATGCATCTGTATTCTGTATTTTGTTCATATCATTATTTTTTCATGCATCTGTATTTTGTTTATATCATTATTTTTTTCATGCATCTGTATTCTGTATTTTGTTCATACCATTATTTTTTTCATGCACCTGTATTCTGTATTTTGTTCATACCATTATTTTTTCATGCACCTGTATTCTGTATTTTGTTCATATCATTATTTTTTCATGCATCTGTATTCTGCATTTTGTTCATATCGTAATTTTTTCATGCATCTGTATTCTGCATTTTGTTCATAACATTATTTTTTCATGCATCTGTATTCTGTATTTTGTTCATATCATTATTTTTTTCATGCATCTGTATTCTGTATTTTGTTCATATCATAATTTTTTCATGCATCTGTATTCTGCATTTTGTTCATAACATTATTTTTTCATGCATCTGTATTCTGTATTTTGTTCATATCATTATTTTTTTCATGCACCTGTATTCTGTATTTTGTTCATACCATTATTTTTTTCATGCACCTGTATTCTGTATTTTGTTCATATCATTATTTTTTCGTGCACCTGTATTCTGTATTTTGTTCATATCATTATTTTTTCATGCACCTGTATTCTGTATTTTGTTCATACCATTATTTTTTTCATGCACCTGTATTCTGTATTTTGTTCATATCATATTTTTTTCATGCATCTGTATTCTGTATTTTGTTCATATCATAATTTTTTCATGCATCTGTATTCTGCATTTTGTTCATAACATTATTTTTTCATGCATCTGTATTCTGTATTTTGTTCATATCATAATTTTTTCATGCATCTGTATTCTGCATTTTGTTCATAACATTATTTTTTCATGCATCTGTATTCTGTATTTTGTTTATATCATTATTTTTTTCATGCATCTGTATTCTGTATTTTGTTCATACCATTATTTTTTTCATGCACCAGTATTCTGTATTTTGTTCATACCATTATTTTTTCATGCACCTGTATTCTGTATTTTGTTCATATCATAATTTTTTCATGCATCTGTATTCTGCATTTTGTTCATATCGTAATTTTTTCATGCATCTGTATTCTGCATTTTGTTCATAACATTATTTTTTCATGCATCTGTATTCTGTATTTTGTTCATATCATAATTTTTTCATGCATCTGTATTCTGTATTTTGTTCATACCATTATTTTTTTCATGCATCTGTATTCTGTATTTTGTTCATACCATTATTTTTTTCATGCACCTGTATTCTGTATTTTGTTCATACCATTATTTTTTTCATGCACCTGTATTCTGTATTTTGTTCATATCATTATTTTTTTCATGCACCTGTATTCTGTATTTTGTTCATATCATTATTTTTTCATGCATCTGTATTCTGTATTTTGTTCATACCATTATTTTTTTCATGCATTTGTATTCTGTATTTTGTTCATATCATATTTTTTTCATGCATCTGTATTCTGTATTTTGTTCATACCATTATTTATTTTATGCATCTGTATTCTGTATTTTGTTCATATCATTATTTTTTCATGCATCTGTATTCTGTATTTTGTTCATATCATTATTTTTTCATGCATCTGTATTCTGTATTTTGTTCATACCATTATTTATTTTATGCATCTGTATTCTGCATTTTGTTCATACCATTATTTTTTCATGCATCTGTATTCTGTATTTTGTTCATACCATTATTTTTTTCATGCATCTGTATTCTGCATTTTGTTCATACCATTATTTTTTCATGCATCTGTATTTTGTTTATATCATTATTTTTTTCATGCACCTGTATTCTGTATTTTGTTCATATCATTATTTTTTTCATGCATCTGTATTCTGTATTTTGTTCATATCATTATTTTTTCATGCATCTGTATTCTGTATTTTGTTCATACCATTATTTATTTTATGCATCTGTATTCTGTATTTTGTTCATACCATTATTTTTTTCATGCATCTGTATTCTGTATTTTGTTCATATCATAATTTTTTCATGCACCTGTATTCTGTATTTTGTTCATACCATTATTTTTTTCATGCATCTGTATTCTGTATTTTGTTCATATCATTATTTTTTCATGCATCTGTATTTTGTTAATATCATTATTTTTTTCATGCATCTGTATTCTGTATTTTGTTCATACCATTATTTTTTCATGCACCTGCATTTATTTTTATGCAACTATTTTTCATGCACCTGTATTTTGTTTTTTAATGCAATTATTTTTTCATGCACCTGCTTTTTGTATTTTTTTCATGCAATTATTTTTTCATGCACCTGTCAATATAGATTTTTTGGTCTTTTTGGTTTTCATACCATTCAACTTTCTTTCTTTTATTCATTTTAATGAAAATAAAAACATCCAAAATACACTATTCAAACACATATATCTTTCTTCTAAATAGCATCATAAACCTGCATTGCATTTACATATCTTTTTATTCACATCTATATTCTGAAGGTATTTATACTGATATGTTCATATATAATTTGCCTGATTATATACAGCATTTTATTTTACTATAACTGTGATTTTCTCTTTGAATTAAGAAGGGATTGAAAGATATCACAAACACTCCTTTATAAAAATCTCTGACTTTGACTGCATGAAAAATAGCACATATTTAATTAAACGATGCCTTATTTGCATTTTGAATTTTTTTTTAAACTAAAATAAAATAATGCATAATCCACTGTAAATGTGACTATGAGATTCATATTTATATATAACATTTTATATTATATATTTATATAATAATCATAAATCAAAAAATTTAAAGTTTATGGAGCAACAATATCCTCAATATAGATTATTAACGGATGCCATGTTTTGTAACATTTTCTAGTAGATCCTCTGAGAGAACATCATGAGTTCCTTTTTTTACCCTATTCACCTGAAGTGTCTTGCTTTAAGAATAATTTAAGAAGCATCCATAGACAATCAAGTCCCTCAATCTGGTGCTCCTGTTTTCTTTTATTAACATGCACACTTATTGCTTTCCTTCTACTTGGCAACCTAGCAAAAACACTTTTCATGTGTCAAAGCAGAGCATGATGTAAGTGAAAGCTGATCCTGATACAATGTACTCTGCATGCTGCTGTAATGCACACCCGTGCCAATAAAACACAGGAAGAACCAAAAATTAGCCATTTAGACCGTAACATTGCAGTGTTTATAATTGATTAAACGACTAATCTATGCGCATTGTTATTGTTTATTTATTAATATCTCTCCTCTGATTGGTGTTAGGGGCATGAGGGTGGGGCAACCTGTCACTCAAATTAGATCCACCAATAACAAACATAAAAAATGCAAGATATAATAAAAATAAACATTTCCCCTCTTTCGAGAAGCAATTTTTCAGGATTATATTCATCACAATAGAGCTGACATGAAACCCACAAATGCAAATACACTAATATCTACTAGATAACACTGGAGGGCAGTGTTTGAGCCCTCCTGATAGTCCTGTGCATCATTTTAGTTGGTAAATGTGTGAAAAGAGAACTGTGAAATGTGTTAGCTGTACGTACTTTGTGTGTGAGAATGAGTTTCTGCTTCCAGCCGTCTCTTTGGATGAGGTGAAGTCCTCCAGCAGATGTGCCCAAAGCCAGCCACTTTCTGGACACTGACAGACATGTACACTGCGGGACAGAGACCGAACATGAGATCAGATTAGATTATAGGAAAGTGAGTCTCGCTAAATTAAATTAAATTAAAATTCAACAGGATCATGTCCAGGTCATATTTTACTTTTTTTCTGAAAGAAAATGGATATAAGTATCAGTTTTGCTTTGTGCTCTCTCTCTAAAATTAATAACCATCTGCTTAGTTTTAGGAATATTAATAATTACTTTTCAAGTGCCTTGGACTTATGATTTTTTTTGTTTAACTGTTAAGACCCAACTATGTCTGTCAGATTCAATCATTCGTGGAATATTTCTTACAGCAGGAAATCAAATAAACAGAACAGAAACTGAGAAACGCTCGCTGAAAGGTAAACAACACAAACTGCGATTCAGGTCAGTTTGAATAACCCAAAGCGATCGCCATAAAAACTTATCACAACAGTAAACTGTGGCGGTAAATGTGCGGTTTACTTTGATGCGTCCGGAGTCCAGTCGCAGGGCAGAAAGCAGGGGGTCCAGACAGTCAAACTCTGCCAGGACGTGAGTGCAGGACTCCACAGGAACCACAGGAATCATCCTGCACCGGTCTGAGAGGAAACAACAGTAACATTCACTTTTTTAATGGGGAACGGTTATACATGCAGCCTGCAGACAGAACTAATAAATGCATGCCAAAGCACATATTTGAACAGAATATGCATGCTTGAATGAGCAAGCAGTTAGAAAAATAGATGCACATCGTGACCAAAAACATATCAATAGTCAAACAGCATCACACTGTACATTTAGTGATTCACAAGTGTTTATTTATGGTTGTGATTTGCTTTATGCAGGGTTTATGCAGGTTTCACCATGTTAAATTTAAGAGACATTTTTAGGACTATTATGAAAAGGATTTTTTTCGAATATTCATTGGAAAAGATTTTCACTTGCCCTATCAAAAAATTATTATAATTGAATATGTTTAATAATACAATTATAATAATAATAATTATTATTATTATTAATTTAATAATACATTTAATAAAATGTAATAATACATAATATTTTAACAATACATATAATAATTTAATAATAAAAATATATATTTATATTTTATTATTTTTATATTTTTAATAAAAAAATATTTAATTATTTTCCATATTGTTTGTCTATTTATTATTATTTTCATGCTATCTCATGTGTAAATCTTTGTGTAAATATTTGTGATATTTTACCTTAATATTTATATAATTATGTAGTGTAAAATTATTCATTCATTTTCTTTTCGGGTTAGTCCATTAATTATTCAGGGGTCACCACAGTGGAATGAACCACCAACTTATCCAGCATATGTTTTACACAGCGGATCCTACGGTGGCCGAGAGAGCGTAACGCGCTGCAATTTAAGAAAGCACATGCAATTACAAATAAACACCAGCAAATAAAGAGACGATCTTCATCAATTTGACAGCACACGTGTTGCAAATTGGTCGCAACACAAACAACTGAAGAAGCGCACTGCAAATTGGTCACAACACTTGCAAATATCCAACTAGCACAATGGAAATGTTTCAAGGCGACCCAAAAAACATGTCCAACCCTGCTAAGATATAGATGTTATGTCGTTTAATCAGGATATTAAAATAAACGAAAAACAACTTGCATGTTTCTTCAGTTACTGTTGTGCTCAATTTGCAACACGTGTGCTGTCAAACTGAAAAGATCGTTTCTTTATTTACAGGTGTTTTTTGTAATTGCATGTGCTTTCTTAAATTGCAGCGCGTTAATCTCTCTCGGCCAACCCAGCACTGGGAAACACGCATACACTCTTGCATTCACACAATTTAGTTTATCCAATTCACCAATATCGCATGTGTTTGGACTGTGGGGGGAACTAGAGCACCCGGAAATAACCCACGCCAACACGAGGAGAACATGCAAACTCCACACAGAAATGCTAACTGACCCAGACGGAGCTCGAACCAGCAACCTTCTTGCTGTGAGGGGACAGTGCTAACCACTGAGCCACAGTTGTCAGCCCGTATATAATTACATCTTCCTGATAATTTCTTGTTTAATAAATTGTATCAGTGCGTGTTTTTATGGCATGTTTCATATATCTATATGTATCAATATTATGTATATTGTACTTACTGTGTTATTTACTGTCTGATCTAGGATGAACTTACTAAAGGAAGAAATAAAAAGAAAAGAAAATTTCTGGGTAAACTATCCCTTACGTAAAATAATACCCAAAAATGCATCCGTAGCAGGCAGCGAAGTGAACTCAATATGTATTAAGACACATCCCTACTTAGTGTCATATGATTCCAGGGAAATCCAATTGAAAAAAGCATGACTATCACTGCAAGTGCTTTATCCATTCTCTTTTCTAAAGACATTATTTATTTAAATTACATAACTGTGTCAACAATAAAAAGACAAAACAAAACAAAAATGGGTGACTTGAAAAGTATTTTGGGAACTTTTAGTTTATATTGTTTTTCACACATTGAGTCAGCATAAAAACACATACTTTTAGCAGCACACAATTATAACAGTTACATACACACACTATTTACGACTTCCGCTTCTTTTAAAACACATTATACGTGTCTTTAACAAACCCTTCATAAAAGTGAACTTTGAAAAGTTTATAAATCAAAGTGACGCGTTAGCCGATTAGCATGACTGTCAATCACGAGACCTGAGTTTAGCACTCACCAAAACACCATAAAACATCAAATAAACCTAATTTCGTTGGAGTTTATAATCGAGTTGTGTCGTAAAAACAGTTTAGCAAAAGCACAAGTTGATCCTGAGCTGGAAATGTCGGTACTTTCACTGTCCTCAACGTTTTGGTTTCTATTTCTCCTCTTCTTGAATAACTCCTTGTTAACGTTACGCGTTTGAAATCATTTACAAGTATGTTTAACGGTTATTTACTCTATAAATAAGAAGATAAACTTATTTAAGTTGATAAATGTGTCACCTCATGCACTTCAATTGAGTATTTAACATGGATTTAAGACGTATAAATCGGGTTTTACCTCCTCCTGAGCTCCAGACGCATTTAAATCGGCGAAATATCCAGAAACGTAGTAAAAACGAGTCATATAGTGTGTAAACTGATGGTCGTGTGTGTTTGTGCCCGCTGCAATTCCTGTAGTGTGTTTGACAGCTGACTGAAAACTGACCGGGGCTACTTTCCTATTGCGTTCTACTCACTGTGATGCGCAAGGATACACGCTAGCCTAGGGAACTACTTCTGACGCCTTCCCTCATTACTTTTCCGTCGAGTAGTTAGTTTAATATTTAATAAAGCAGTACTGACAAACGATTATTTGAGATTAATCGCATTTAATATGTATGTTTGTGTTTACCTAATATATATAATTATTACACACATACAGTATTTAAATAGGTTAAATATTTGGGGGTAGCTAAAGCATGAATACTGCTTGCGAGTTCTCTCAGATTTACTGTAGTATTATTAGGGAAGGGTTTGAGTAAAATGTTGTTTTATTTTATAATGATGTAAGAACCCTTTCATACACATTTCAAATAAAAATACTGTAATTTCGAGGGGTTTTTTTTCATTCACAAAATGGTCAGAATAACAACTACACTGTAAAGAATGCACAATCTATTTGTGTTGGCACGACTTAAAGAAATTAAGTTGGGTTTACTTTACACAAATTTAAGTGGATTGAACATAAAACAATTAATTTGTCAAAAAATACCTCATGTATTGTGTTCTTTCAGCTCCTTTTTTATAAGTAGTTTGATTAAACAGTAATTTTTTGAGTGTGTTTTTATTGGTTGTGATAGAAAATCAAAGTTATTAATCATAATTAATCATATCCTCTAAAAATGGCACAAAAACTCTTTAGTAGTTTTTAGATTAAAACAAAAATTTTATTTTATTCAGACACCTAAACATAAATCAGATATCCAGGGAAACATATTGTCTATGTATATATGTTTGTTTACATATTTGAGAAAATATGTATTTAAATTTATACTTGTAATAAATAACAAGTCAACTTATACTTCTAATTTAAATTTAAACTTGTATAAATTAATATATAAATATTTTATTAAATAATTAAATAAGAGAAACATAGAAACATTACATAAATAAGAAACATATTGTTTAATTTAAATAAACATTTTCTCAGAAATCTTTTATAGTTAAAAAATGTATGGTTTAATGTCGTAGAAAGAAAAATATTATTATGATTTTTGCTTATAATAAATATAAATAATATAAAATGTAATTTAATTATTTAATTAAAAAAATAAATATTAATAATGTATACAAGCTTATATACATTTAAATTAAAAAGTTTCTAATATATATAACACATAATAAATTTGACACAAACATATTTTTTAAACACGAACTTTTATTGGGCATACAACAAATCACGATAAACCATTTGACCGCACTAATATAAAACAAAAATTAAACACATTATTTCTAATAATTCATCTACAATGTTTAGATTTCAGATGTAAATGTGCCTGTTACCAGAGGATGTTTCTTCCTCCCAGACGCGGAGGTGTATATGGGAGTCCACCGGCTCACTAAAAGCTTCTGTTGATCTGTATTGATTGATATTTGAGAAGCTCAGGAGAATAAAAGCTCTTCCATCCACAGCAAAAATAGCAAAGACTCGAGTCGACCTCAAACATCTCCTGACCTTGTAGTAAATGTGTTTAAGCCAGATTCAGATGTATGACTTTTATTATGTGAAGATATAGTCATCACTAAATGCATTGAACAAGTAAAATGAATAATATGGTGAATATTGAGTTTTAATGCAAATAGTTTAGAATAGTATTGATTAATAATGGGTATGAGAGAAATAGGAGCTAATGTTAATTGTTATATTAATAATACACAAATTGGTTTAGCAAGGTTATGTAAAACTGCAGAAAGTTGTTAAAACTCGCTTTTTAAAATTACATTGAGTTGCTAATATCTAAATCGATAAATAAAATATATAAACAGTATTAAATAATACACTAACATTAGGGTATTAAAGTGTGCAGTATTATAGTTATATATATTTTAAATATCTAAGTCAAAATTGCATTTGTACAAAAAAAATATATATCTATATACATACATAGTATATATATATATATATATGTGTGTATATATATATATATATATATATATATATATATATATATATATATATATATATATATATATATATATATATATATATACTATAAGTGTTGGCGTTATGGTTTAATATATTCAAAATATATCTATACTATTTTTTATACTATTTTTTATCATGTAAATTGAGTATTATTTGTGGAAATTAGTCTCTTGAACGCGTAGTCAATACGTTTAATATAATAGAAAGTAAAGTCATTAATTCATTTTCCTTCGACTTAGTCCCTTTATTAATCGGGGGTCGCCACAGAGGAATGAACCGGCAACTTATCCAGCATATGTTTTACACAGCGAATGCCCTTCTAGCTGCAACCCAGTACTGGGAAACACCCATACACACTCATTCACTATGGCCAATTTAGTTAATCAATTCCTCTATAGCGCATGTGTTGGAACTGTGGGGGAAACCGGAGCCCCCAGAGGAAACCTACGGCAACATGTGGAGAACATGCACACAGAAATGCCAACTGGCCCAGCCGGGACTCGAACCAGTGACCTTCTTGCTGTAAGGCGACAGTGCCTGGTCACCATGCCACATGAAAATGTTTATATTGTATTAAATTAAGCCCTAATACTAAATATACAAATTTAAATAAACATATTTCATTTTATCTAAAGCTTTTATCATTATTATTATTAAAATAATGTATTTTTTATATTGAAATATTTATTTTTTTAATATTATATTCTTTATTAATCAAAATTTTTGTTAAACATTAAATTGTAAGTGTTTTCTTACAATTTAAAATTTTAAAAAGTAAATATATTTTAAAATAATTTTCTACGTTATAATATAAAAATTGTCATTGTATAAATTCACATACAAAAAAAGTATAAAGCTTAAGAAATTTGTTAGGAAATTATAAGACGTTTTTATGAAATTTAGGATTGGGGTTTAGTGTAATAAACAATAATCATGGTCTAAATACTAGTTTACACATTAAAAAAATATTTTATAGCTTCAGACATAAAAAACAGTCTGTAAAACATATTTAATTTTTTAATAAGAAAATTTAATTATTATAAATAATATAATATTAACAATACATCACAAAAATTAGATTTTTTCAGTATAAACATACATTATTTTAATAATAATAATAATGATAAAAGCTTTAAATAAAATGAAATATGTTTATTTAAATATGCATATTAAGTATTAGAGCTTAATTTATTACAATCTAAACATTTTCATATTTATATATATACACTACCTGATAAAAGTCTTGTCGCCCATTCAAGTTTTAGGAACAACAAATAATAACTTGACATCTAGTTGATCATTTGGTATCAGAAGGAGCTCAAACGATAAGCAAAGGCCTCTGGATTACGCTAATTTGACCAAAATAAAATATGATCATGCCTTGATTATTAATGATTTCATTAGGACAGTAAGGTCTGACTTTCCTTAGACTAAAGTTTCATCACTGAACAGAAATAATGTCCAGTATAGAGTATAAAGTCAAGAATGAATATTGTGTCTGACTCCATCATGAGCTTGGATGACTGCATCCATACATCTCTGCACTGACTCACATCACTGATTAATAAAGTCATCTGGAATGGCAAATAAAAGGTTCCTGCAGGACTCCCAGAGTTCATCAAGAATCTTTGGATTCATCTTCAATGCCTCCTTCATCTTACCCCAGACATGCTCAATAATGTTCATTTCAGGTGACTGGGCTGGCCAATGCTGGAGCACCTTCACCTTCTTTGCTTTCAGGAGCTTTGATGTGGAGGCTGAAGTATGAGAAGGAGCGCTATCCTGCTGGAGAATTGTCCCTCTCCTGTGGTTTGTAATGTAATGGGCAGCACTAATGTCTTGATACAACATGCTGTCTATGTTGCAGATCTCTCGCACGCCTCCAAACTGAATGTAACCCCAAACCATGATCTTTCCTTCACCAAACTTGACTGATTTCTGTAGAATCTTGGCTCCATGCTGGTTCCACTAGGTTTTCTGCAGTATTTGTGATGACTAGGAGGCAGATCAACAAGTCCACGACAAGACTTTTGTCAGGTAGTGTGCGTATGCGTGTCAAACATAAATCTAAAAAAATGTTTACACTGTATAATCTACATATATATAGATTTACATATATTAAAAAGTATATAAAGTTGTCCTTTATACATGAAAACATTTAGAAAGCATATAACAAAATGATAGCTAACGGGATGCTTAACATATGATCATCCTCATGCACTACATCTCAAGCATCCCATTCATTTAAATACAGAAATGCAGCACTTCCTGTTCCTGGTATTTGTGGTTAACAACAGCTTTCTAACGGCCTTGTCAAACCGAGAACATTGAGGAAGCATTATTAACACACACTCACACTCACACTCACACTCACACACACACACACACACACACACACACACACACACACACACACACACACACACACACAGCTGAAACAGTTTAAATGGTGACTTTATTTGAAAGAACATCCACATCTCAGTGCAGCTATAGAGGACACACGGTAGAAAGCAGTGCGCACGAGTGTGTGTTGGTGCACACCAATCAGTCAATGCACTACATACAAACTATTATGATTATGATGATTATTATTGTTATTTTACAGTATTGCTATACTCTCTCCCCTTGGCGTGTCTTGAGCAGCATCTCAAGATTTCGGGAGGGTTTAATATCCGATTTGTCATCCACTTAAAAGCTCCTTTTGCGTTAAACGTTAGAAGTTCCTGAGAAATCTTTCCACCGGTATTATTAAAGCCCGGTTTGGTCGTCATAAGAACACAAGGCTGTTAAAAAAAATGCTAAATTATGCACTGAAGAAGTCAACGGAACGAACAAAGAGTGAAGAAAATAATTACAGTTATTGGTGACTGGCTCCGCCCACTTCCACGTGGACCAATAGGATGACAGTATTTGCTCTCTCTGAGCCCCTCCCCCATGGCAGATGTGCTCATTAGCACCTCCAGCTCTGATTGGCTGGAAAATCCACCAGTCCGGCTTCGGTTAGCCCGAGCTGGGTGAGCGCTTTTGTTCCTCTCTAGTTTCCTTTAAATTTACCCAGAGTCCTCTCTCCATTTTAGGCAATTTCTCTATTCTCAGTCTCTTCAGGTTTTCCTCATCATTCGGCGTGTCTGCCAGGCTTGAAATTTGCTGTATGCAGCCTGAAACATCTCCTCCAGGTGGCCTGTAAGCTGTTAACACAGAAGATTATTATTATTGTCAAATATTTAATACTTCACTCAAGTCACGTAACAGTAGTTTATATGGGGGATTTATAAGTCACATTGCTTTAAAGTAAGCGTCATTTCATTTTATTACACATAACGTCATTTGTAAATTAGATATGTTTTCTTTGCATATATGGATCTCTTTGGTTGTTGCAAACATAGGGGGAACATTTCAAGTCAACAGCACCTTTAGAAATATGTTCTCAGAAAAATGGCGACAAGTTCAATATTTATTACAATACAGTATATATATATATATATATATATATATATATATATATATATATATATATAAATATAATATATAATATAAAAATATATATATATATATAAATAAATATATAAAAAAATAAAAAAATATATGTATATATAATTTGTTAAAGCTAAATTTGCCAGATTATGTAAAACATTTAATTCTCCTAAAAATGTTTGCAGTATTTTCTGAATTATGGAGTAATATAAAGACATTTCCCATCTGTAAAAACCTTTGATATGTCAAAAAATAAATAAATTTGAGCTAGATTTCATCCAATGCTCAGATATTTGGGCTACAAATGCATGCAAATAAAAAACACAACTAAATTAAATGTTTCAGTCTAAAAGGACGAGTTAAACAGCACACTCTCACACTATTGTCCTTCCACACAATGATCAATTCTGGCTTGTCTTTCTACCAAGCAGCTAGATCAGCTAAATTATTTACGTTTCCTCAATTTAGAATCCATTACAGATAGCAGAGGGGTTGTGGTCGGGGGGCGTGGCCTTACATTAGTGCTCAAATACTGTCGCTGGATCTTCTCTTGAAAGGGGCGGAGCTTGGTCACCTGAAACCTCTCCAGGTTGGATTTCATTTTCAACACCTGTATGAGAGAAAAAGCAGATAAACATGCTGCAGTAAAATAACAAAAACACAACTCAAATAGTTTGATTCAATTTCTTGACCTTCTCCTCCAGAAAGGGAGTGTTGACGGGGAAACAGGACCAGAAGTGTCGGAGCAGCTCTCCGGCGGCCGTGTATAAGTGCTTCAGCTCGCTCTGAACATCAGCGGGCACTAACTCTGCACAAATAAACACAAAGTGAGTGTACATCAACTTAATGGACAGTCAAATAAGGCTTGAATGCCTGGTTTAAAGCACACAGCCGAGTGCATTATTTGATATAAATATAAAGGCTGCACAATATATCGAAAAAAATATCGTTATCGTGATAATAGTTTGTGCAAAATCCATATCCCAGAGAAGGGAAATTAATCTGATGTGCCGAGCAATTATGTGCTGCATTCATAGATGATCTAAATCTGACCAATCAAATGAGCCGTTTACTATCTTTAGCCCCGCCTCTCCAGTAGGTGCTGTTAGTGAGCCTAAAGCTAAAATTAAACACTAATGCTGAGAGACAAGAGAGGAAAATCACTCAAGTTTAAGACTTTTAAGACCTTTTTAATGCCATTATAAAGGAAATGTCATGTTTTTTAATGGCCAGTGAAAAAAAGATCTCTCCTTGATCCACTAAAATTCTAATTAAGTTCTCTCTTAACCGCAATTCTTTAAATACTGTGTCAAAACAAGCAAAATACATTTAGTTAAATACATATTGTATTATTTTAACATTTAACATTAGCAGGAAAACCTCTTGAGATTTGCCATTTCTTTTTCAAGAGTGTTGTGGAAATGTAACTTTTGTTAAATTTAATAACATTTCAGAAAAATTAAGAGTTAATTTTAAATTATTTAAGACCCACAAGAACATATTTCAGGGAATTAAAGACGTATGAAGGCCATTACATTAGGAATTAAAGGCGACTATGAAGAAAAGTTCAGACTTACAGACTACAGGATAAACGTTTTTTTTTCTTCTAATAATCAGTGGAAAATATTTGAACTTGCTCCAATAAAACTGAAAAGTGAATGGTCAGAAACTCACGGTGGATGGTCTGCTGGCCTGCGCTCTGCATTAAAACTCCTCCAGGTGAAAGAGCGCTGATGGCTGAGCTCGCCGCACTGCTGGACATCACCTAAAACATCGAGAAAACACCACCACAATTCACCCTTTGCTGGCAGATTGATTGACAGGCGATCTGGCCAATCATAACACTGATATTCTGTGACCCTCTGCCATTTTGTCCGACAAACAAAACAGTCTGCCAAACCAGGTGTAGCGGAGTAATATTTGCGATTAATATCAAATGATTGGTTCAGCGATTCATTTGTTCCAAACCCCTCCGTTGCATGGCTCTAATCTGCGCTGATTGGTCCGATGACCCAGTCTGTTGTGATTGAACGACTGCATTTAGCAAAAGATGGAGAGAAACGCCCTCCACGGATATGAAGTAGCAAGAGTACAGAGTATATGTGTGAGACCAATGCAGGAATGCATTAAAGGTGCAGTATGTAAGTTTGACACCCAGTGGTTGAACTAGGTATTGCATGCCTGGATCAAAACACACGGAAGCGCAGGTTAACAGATTGAGGACCAATAGGAGAGAGTCTGACTATCGAGCCTAAACGCAGATTTAATTTGTGCTCTAAATTAAAGCAACGACAATCTACAGAAGGAATATTTTTATATATTCATATTTTTGACCTAATCAATACCTGTAATTTATATTTTAGAAACGACTTCTATTTTTTGCAGCTGAACAACAGAAAACTTGTTTACATGATCTCCTCAGGTACACCTCATGTGCTTTATTCAGTGTTAAATGCTAATAATGCAAGTTTGAATGCCATTTTACATGACATTTATTGCCATACTACTGAAAGCAGCAGCAGATAGCTCACCTCAGATCTTGAAAATAAAATAAACGTTTGGGATTGAACTTTAGATCTGTGACTCAGTGCAAGCCAACACATATCAGTGATTCAGCATCTACATTTAATAATGTTAAAGAGGTTTAAAATGTATTAATTGGGTTATAAACCTTACCATTTCGCTGCAGTGCAGTGAGTGCACTATTCTGTTCTTCTGAATGGCTGTATTTAAATTTCTGTCGTGTTTCGTCTGGTGCAAACAGCCAAATTGCTTATCACTCCAAATTTCGTCCAGTAGCGTGTTGTTAGGACACAGGGTTACAATGTAGCATGCTCACCTAATGTTTACGTTCGTAATATTTATATTATTTGCTAATTAATAACCTCATGTGGAACTCTGAATCTGCGTCTCATTTCAGAGTCCGTTACTGTCCACTGGAGGTCGCATTTTGGTCACGGACACATGCTCTAAGAGCATTAAATACGCTGTTTTCGACCAAGGCAACCCGGGGTGCTGAAATAAAACTGGCTAAAGTGGCAGTGGGCGGGTTAAAACAACAAAAACAAAGACAGTCGTTCCGGCATGGGAATTACATTTTCAAAGCAGAATTTCAGATAAACAATAATATTCACATAGCATGTTTCTGAAATATCTGCAAACATATGATGATATTTTTATGCTTTAGAAGAGTCCAAAACTTACATACAGCACCTTTAAACACCAGCATATTCCTCTACTCTTAACCACAACCCCAAGTAATAACAACGACACACATTCAGTATTAATCCACACAGTGGCAAAAGTTTAACTATTTTGAAAATTGACCGTGTGTATGGAAAGTTGTTGGTGGCCAGGATACATTACAAGCCGCGTAAAGCGATTACAAGTTACAACACACAATTAAATACATATTTTGCAAACTACAGAAAACAAGGAGGCAACCATTTTAATTACACTTATGATCTGGAGGAAGAGAGAGAGAGAGAGAGAGAGAGAGAGAGTTTTAATTTTATTGCTATTTCAGCTTCTATGGCTATGTCATGCCAAAAAAAAAAAAACAGATCAAGGTTACCACATTTTATAAATACCACTTTTCTATATTCTTAAAAAAGTCCTAAAAATTAAGTCATTAACAGAAAAAAATAATGCACAAGGTAAAATACATCAATAATAATAATAATGATAATATATATGATAAAAATCTAAAAACCTTTTTAAGGTTTCCTTTAAATAAAAATTCAACAATTTTAGAAGGATTCACATTTAAAAAAAATTCACTTAAGAGTCTCTCCAGTTAAAAATTGTTGTCTAAGAACATTAAAAATGGGGCATTCCACAAGAATATGTTTAACAGTTTGTTTTTGGTGCAATAAAGGCATTTTGGGGGTTCTTCTCCTTTGAGTAAATGTTCATGCGTGAGTCTTGTGAGTCTCATCGTGTCTTGACTTAAAAAATAAATTAGATTTTTTTCCTATTTCTTGCTGAATTTCAAAAAGTTTATTTTCTGGGCACTGATTCCATTCTGTTTGCCATTGGTTTAGAATATAGCCTTTTATTAATCGCTTTAGATCAGAAGGTGGGATTTTACACTCCGTTAGCTTTCCTGCTAGGGCTGTTTTGGCGGCTTTGTCAGCTTGTTCATTTCCAAATAGTCCAGCATGTCCTGGGATCCAGCAGAAGACTATATTATAAAACTTTCTCTGTAGTTCATTCACTTTAATAAAAATGTCAATAATAATGAGATGATCCAGTTTAAAAGAATTCAATGTCTGTAGACAATATTTTAAGTCCGAAAAAATAATAAAATTGTGTTCTTCGGCATTTTCTATATGTTCCAGAGCTAAAAAGAGAGCATCTGGAGGAAGAAGAAACCGGTCCATATGAACTGCGTACTGCTAAAGCCCCTGTCAAAGTCCCATACATTAATAGTCTTTGCTGATCCTTCCTTTAATAACAAACAGCCGGCGAATCCCGCGTTACAGCGTTCACGTTTTATCAGATCCGGCAACTCATATTTGGCGATGTCTCATATCAACATCGATACGGCCAGGCAAAAGATTCAGACACGAGACGAATCATTTATTTAAGTCCGAGTCGACTCTTTCTTTTAAGACTCAATAGTTTTTAACACGGTGCACTTTCAGATTTAGACCTCAGCTGGATGTTTCCATTCACTTAGAGCGGTGTACACTGCATCGTAATCGCGTCTGTCTGATAAAACTGACTATAATCCAGGGTTTACCCACAGTTACCTGCGTGAGTTGGGGTTTGTAGCTCCTCATCTCGTGCTGGATAATGCTGATGGAGTTGATGATGTCCTGACTGGTGCTGTAATGCTGCGACTGAAGAGGGACCGGCCCGTGGGCATATCTGACAGACAAACACACACACACTTCATATGAAGAGTCCAAACACCAGCACAATGAAGTCTGGAGCATGTGTTTACCTGTCTGATTTCTTCAGGTTCAGAGCGATGGTCTTTCGGCCCGAGTCGTTTTGCAGGTCATCATACTCTATGGCTTCCTGTAATTTCACCTGACGAGCCACAAACACAACATTAGAAAAATAAACGACAACAGGATTTTCCAAAACACTGAATATTCAATCATTCATTCATTTTCTTTTCAGCTTAGTCCCTTTATAAATAAGGGGTCATCACAGCGAAATTAGCTGCCAAATTATCCAGCATATGTTTTACACAGTGTATGACCTTCCAGCTGCAACCCATCCCTGGGAAACACCCATATACTCCCATTCACACATACTTGTGTGAACATGCAAACTCCACACAGAAATGCCAACTGACCCAGCTGAGGCTCGAACCAGCGACCTTCTTGCTGTGAGGCGATCTTGCTACTCACTGTGCCATTGTGACGCCCCGAAAACACTGAATATATTTAAGAAATTTTCAAATAATGATTAAGAAAATATTTTAGATTATTGCTAATATTAATTAAGGCGGCACAGTGGCTCAGTTAGCACTGTTGCCTCACAGCAAGGTCTCTGGTTCAAGTCCCGGCTGGCCAGTTGGCATTTCTTTGTGGAGTTTGCATGTTCTTTCCGTGTTGTTGACTTGGATAAATTTGCTGTAGTATATGAGTGCGAGTGTGAATGTGAGAGTGTATGGGTGTTTCCCAGTACTGGGTTGCAGATGGAAGGGCATCCGCTGCGTAAAAATATGCTGGAACAGTTGGCGGTTCATACTGCTGTGGCGACCCCCGATTCGAAGAAAGAAGTCGAAGAAAAATGAATGAACAATATTAATTAATAACATATTTTCTATTACATTCAGTTCTATTAAATATATGCAATATTTAGGAAAATCACAACATGCTTATAATGCTGTAAATGTTTTTTTTAATAATATATAGATCTGTATGAATGTAACTGTAATACAATCTATATATTAAAAATTATATTAAAAAATACAGAAATCACAGTTATGTGCATACAGATCTATATACTGTATGATAAAACAAAACAAAAAATACAGGAGTATAAACATGTTGTGTTTTTCCTAAATATTGCATGTAAATTGCATGAATATAATTCAATGTGTTTTTTATATTCAGTTCTATTAAACATGCAATATTTAGAAACAAAACCTGGTTATATTCCTGTAAGTGCTTTTGCTTTATAATAGAGTATATAAAGTAAAGTAAAGAACTTTTATTGTCATTGTAGTTGTACAACGAAATTTGTTTGGTAACTCACAGAGACCAGCAGCAACATAAAAAAGAGCGAAAACAAATAGTAGACATAATACTAAAAATATAAGATGTAAGATAAAGTATACTAAATGTAATAAGTCACATAAAAACCAACAATAGACATAATACTAAAAATATAAGCTGTAAGATAAAAAATACTAAATGTAATAAGTCACAGTATTTACATTATGGCAAATGAGTGCAAACATGAATATCCATAAAGTGTCTTTGTGCATTAGCAGCAGAACATCAGGAAGGTAGGGAGTGAGGGAGGGGGGGGGAGTGATTGTTAATAGATCCGTATGCATGCAGTTGTTAGTATTTCTACTTATAATTACTTTAATCTGATTGTTATTATTTACATTTTATTAAAATATTAAAAGATTTTGTCTTGTAGGTGTGTAAATATGCGTGTGATTGCTTGTGTGTGTGATTAAAACCCAAATAAAAGCAAAGATTTCAACAATTCTTCATTGGAATTAAATACATTATACTTTGATCTCCATTATTAAGATGTCTTTCAAGATATAGGTGACAACAAACTATTTTTCTGTTTGATCTTTTTTACAATAATTTTATTAGACACTCTTTTCATTTATGTAATTCAGTGACCGTGATTATGTGTATAGTTTTCCCCTTTTATACTTGTAGGTTTCTGTATGCATATATTCGCATATTTGTGTTTGTGCATATATATATTTCGTATTTTTTTTATTTGTTTTATATTGTTATCAACCATGCTATACACATTGAACTAAGTCAATGTTGAGGAACACATTGTTGATAACCATGTTTACTAAAAACACAATATAGGTAAAGTAAAAAAAAATAAACAAATAAATTTATTAATTGTCTTGTCGGCTTAGTCCCTTTATTAATCCGGGATCGCCACAGCGGAATGAACCACCAACTTATCCAGCAAGTTTTTACGCAGCGGATGCCCTTCCAGCCGCAACTCATCTCTGGGAAACATTAACAAATAAATAATGAACTTTATTTTATTTTGTGATGAAAATTATAATGCTATTATACTATACTGTTAATACTATAATACTAGTAATATACAACTAAATAATGTAAGGTTTATAATACATAAATAAACTTTCATATTTTTAAGTTTTAGTTACTGAAAAAACATAAATAACTATTATTATTTTAATTATTGATTGATTTATTTTTATTGATTGATTAATTTTTTTTACGAAATGCATATTTTGATGACTTATTTTTGTATTTAGACACATTTTGATTATAATAATATTAATAAAGAGGAGTTATTTGTAATGTTTTAATGTTTATATGAATCCTCTTTGCACCATTCCCAACAACATGCATCAATCGTGTGAAAATCACTGATATCCAAAAATCTGGAGTCGCGTTTCACCTTTTTAAGTGGCGGCTGAAAGAAATCTGAATCTCTGGAGTTTCCATCCGTGCTGCTCGTCTCGCTGGCTTGATCACTGGGGGCTTCCCTATAAAACACACACGTACACAGAGAAAAACATCTGTTGTTTTGTCCTACATAGACAGATTCTCCTACCTCTAATTTGAAAAAGTAGGTAGCACATTTAAACAGCACCAATCAGCAGCAGAGGTGGAAAGAGTACTGAAATAATCGGACTCGAGTAAAAGTAGCATTACTTGCCTAAAAGTGGAGTGCAAGCAGAGTAAAAGTATCTATTGTAAATATTACTCAAAGTATGAGTAAAAAGTTGACTCAAGAGTAGTGAGTATTGAAAAGCTGATGCATTTACATTTAATACGTGTGTGTGTGTGTACACGTAACATTCTGTAGTGCATTTAATTTTTGCCCAGCAGACACACAACGTCATATTCATTCATTCATTCATTCATTTTCTTGTCGGCTTAGTCCCTTTATTATTCCAGGGTCGCCACAGTGGAACGAACCACCAACTTATCCAGCAAGTTTTTACGCAGCGGATGCCCTTCCTGCCGCAACCCATCTCTGGGAAACATTCACACACACATTCACACACACACTCATACACTACGGACAATTTAGCCAACTGAGCCGAGGTTCAAACCAGCGACTCAGCGACCTTCTTGCTGTGAGGTGACAGCACTACCTACTGCGCCACTGCCACAACATCATAAGACATTAATATTAGGTTAGATTTATGTTGTGATGTCAGGTGACCAAAATGTAAGTCTGGCCAGCGTCTAAAGACAGCGTTATTTTGATGACCAATAACAACATCAAATCACGTTGATATTTGGTCGATTTTAGGTTCTTAGAAAGTGACCAAAATCCAACGTCGAGCCAACATTTTAAACCAACGTCATATTGACATCAAATACTGACATTTATTCATCAGGTATGGCAACCAAAATCCAACGTCTGATAGACGTCATAGTGGTAACGTCCACACAACGTCAAGCTGTAACATCATTAGACGTTGATATTTGGTTGATATCTGGACACTGACATCAGCCTGTCATTGGGTTTGGACATTAACCTGATTTTCATATCCAAACAAAATGCAACGTCCCCATGACGTTGGGGTACAATGTCAATCTGAAGTCACGTTGACGTCTTGTACCTGCTGGGTGTTTAAAGAGCCCATACTATACATGAAATAGGGTCATATTTTGGTTGTAATGGTCTCCAACAACAGTCTAATATGCATGCAAGGTAGGGGTGTAACGATATTAAAACCGAACCGAAATATCGCGATACACCAACCACGATATGTATCGCGAAACTCTCGTGGCGTACCGCAGTACTCTCACGCCCCCTGCTGCCCATTGTTGAGGTTGACGTCACTTGTCTCTAACTAATTGAATCAATTTAAACACATCTTTAATATCATATTTGATTAAATTGTTTTAGTAATGATGAGGATTTGTTCTAAATATTATATTCTAAAGTTAGTATTTTAGTGCATGTTATGTCATGTGACTTGAGTAAGCATCACACTCGTTACTACTGGACGCAGGATGGCTGCTTTACATAGTACTGAGATTGCAGATCCCCCAGACACATTTAAGTCATCTGTGTGGAAACATTTTGGTTTTCCAGTTGAGTACAGGAATAGAATTCGTGTCGTAGACAAAGCGCACGCCTGTCTGTCTCAACTGTTTCACGAAACTTACTTGTAAGGAAAAACATTTAAAAAGTGTGGTAATTTCACAATGTGAGGGTGTAAGCAACAGAACTGCTAACAAAAGTGATTTAATGTACAAAAGTAAAACCAGAATAATGCCCAAATATACAAAAAATTGAAATATTTACACTAATAAAATAATATAATAAAGTAACAAATTCAAACAAAAGTATCAAACAAAAATTAGTTAAACTCGAGCAAGGGGGTGATAGTGAAGACAAACAAAAGAAATAAATATAATAAAACAATTCTAACTCATGAATAACCCCTCTTACCTCGGTAAAACTGATGAAAAGAAAAAAAAGGTCTTCAGCGCCGTGCGCCGCATTCTTCCCTATACTGAATAAAATAAACAAAGATGACCTTCACCTCTTACCTGATGTCTTTAACAATACATTTTCTACGTGTTTGCAAAATGGAAATCGTATGACATTTTCCCTATCCACCTTACACTAAGAGTGAACTTGAGGAGATACAGCTATATTGTCGGGAAGGAGCGGAGCCAAAAAATAATATACAAATCAATTGAAATAAAAATGTACAAACCTCACAAAATTTCTAAAAGTGGGCAAAAGTAATGCAAAATAATTTTACCCAAACGAAAGTTAAGCAAAAACAACGAAAATCATAATCATGTCAGAAAAATACACGAAAATTGAGATCAAAGGAAAAAGCGCTCTCTCTCCCGCTCTTCCTGAATTGCTTTTTACATTCCCGCGCTGCGTTGCCAAATGATGATAGATCGGTCTCATGACCAATCAGCTGTCAAAAGGGCGGACCTACACAAATGACAGGCATCCGCTGTCGTGAAGGCGGACCTACATAAATGACCGGCATTTATTTAATTTTAGTTGTTTACTCGGGTATCCTGACTGTACTAAAAATGCGATGACAAAGTTAATAAAGAAAAAGGTAAGATGTTCTTGTTATTAAGTGAATTGTCTCTTAGCATTGCTGTTAACATGACATCAACCCTAACCCCACAGCAAACAGAAACCGAACCGTACCGAACCGAACCGTGGCTCCAAAACCGTGAACCGAACCGAACCGTGCCTTTTGTGTATCGTTACACCCCTAATGCAAGGTCAAAAAACCCTTTCATTATCATGTAATCTGCATTTATTTTTACCTAATTATCCCAGCGACTCCTGTATGAATCGTTCAGCGATTCATTTGTTCCCAAACCCCCCCTTAGCACGAAGCTAATCTGCGCTGATTGGACCGATGACAGTCTGTTGGGATTGGTCGATACTGACTGCCTTCAGCGCGAGAACGAGTGAACTACTTGGTTTCGTTGTCACGTCATGGCGAAACACCTAATGACTCGTTATCAAGACGACTCGTTTGAAGCACTATGAGTCGACTCTTTTATAGATGAATCAACAGTTTTAAACTCTGTACTCTTACAGATTTAAGCCTTAGCTGGATACTTCACTTCACTTAGAGCTGTGTTACACACTACATGGAGGGGAATTTTCAAAAACCCATAATATGGGCTCTTTAAGACTATTTCAGTCATCATACAGTAAACATCCGCCATCTCATCAGTAACATGCATCTAAACAGTCCCTGGGTCAATGCGTGTAAAGATTGTCATCTTTTTGCACACTTTTAATGCTTCCAAACGGTTTGCTGCAATTATAAATCGTCCATGTCTTGAGGTAGTTCATTATGATGTGATTTACCTTCTATGTGTGATTTAATAGGACAGAAATCAAAGACTGATTCTTCTAATCCCCAAAGATAAGAAAAAATGAAACAGTGACTGTAGGCTGAAGGAAAGTAGTGAAGTAAAAGTACCAATACAGCACTAAAAATGTACTCAAGGGACAGCCATGTCACCCTGCAGCCCAAGACCGGTTACTCACTGAAACTAGCAGGGCTGAGCCTGGTCAGTACCTGGATGGAAGACCACTAGGGAACACTAAGTTGCTGTTGGAAGTGGTGTTAGTGAGGCTCAACCTGTGGTCTGTGTGAGTCCTAATGCCCCAGAAAAAGTGAAGGGGACACTACACTGTCAGTGGGCGCCGTCTTTCGGATGAGACGTTAAACCGAGGTCCTGACTCTCTGTGGTCATTAAAAATCCCATGGCACTTCTCGTAAAAGAGCAGGGGTGTAACCCCGGTGTCCTGGCCAAAGTCCCTCTATCGGCCCTTACGATCATGGCCTCCCAATCATCCCCTTCCACCGAATTGACTCAATCACTGTCTCTCCACTCCACCAATAGCTGGCGTGTGGTGAGCGCACTGGCGCTGTTGTCCTGTGGCTGCCATCGCATCATCCAAGTGGATGCTGCACACTGGTGGTGGTGTGAAGAGACCCCCCTCATGATTGTAAAGCACTTTGGGTGTACGGCCATACACAATAAATGCGCTATATAAATACACATTACATTACATTACAAGTAATAGTACACATTTCTAAAACTACTTAGTACATTACGATTTCTGTGAAAAACTACTCAATTACTGTAGTCTGAGGATTTGCAATTTGTTACTTAACACCACTGGCTAGCAGTGTATATTTTGGTGTTGAGAGTGTGATATGAGGCTGTGATCCCTAACCATAACCTCCAAACCATTTAAACGCAGTGTCGGGAGCATGATCTGAGGGGTGGGGTAAAAACACTCACGCTTTCCGCAGGCCGGCTGCCAGGACCATGGCACTGTGGTGGTTGAAGCGCTTGATGATGGCGGAGTTGCTGTTTTCTCTGAGTGTTTTGTTGGCTGTGTTTGACGCAGGGGGAGCCGCCGCTGTGCCGTAACCCTTCATAAACACACAGAGATCACCAGATTCAACACACAATACAAAACACAGATGAATGGACATACAGTGGGTACGGAAAGTATTCAGACCCCCTTAAATTGTTCACTCTTTGTTATAATGCAGCCATTTGCTAGAATCATTTAAGCTCATTGTTTTTCCTCATTAATGTACACACAGCATGCCAGATTGACAGAAAAACACAGAATTGTTGGCATTTTTGCAGAGCATATTTCACCTCATCTAACGTTTTATCTTCGAGTGCAAGCAGATCCACCATTGGGTTCTTCACTCCCTGGGTCACCATAGACTTCAGGCCTGAGAATAACAAGAGAAACAAACAACATTAGAACGCTCAAAAACACCTAAAAGAGCCATTTAACATGCACAGATGAACCAAACAGTCCATTGAATTCTTATAAAAATCATTAAGTTATTAGGCAAGGCAAGTACATTTATATAGCACAATGCTAAATTGAAGTGATTTACATACGCAAGAATAAAAGAAACATAAAATACAAGAATAAGAAATAAAAACAATGGAGATGTGTTAAAAATGTGTTTTAAAGGAATCAAAAAGACACAAATAGTGCAATCCTTATTTGTACGATTTTTATTAGTTATTAGATTCGGCGGTTGTTATCTGGGAATAACATACCTTGGAAAGTCACGACTGACCAATCAGAGTCAAGTATTCCAGAATAAAATCATTCATACTATGGTGCTGTTGCATGCTTGATTCTCACTGGCTGATGAGCAATCTAAGGTCGCCGTTATTATAAATGTACAGATAAAGTAGTTCCGGCAGGTTTTGAGCGCATTACAGCTCCATATCACTACGCTGAATGATTTCTGGTTTTTCAATAGTCGGAAATCAGATCACAAGACAACAAAAGGCTTTGGAGGAGATGTGTAAGAAACTAGAGTTGCACACAGGAGCAGTTTGAGAACAAAAACCTGACAAATAAAGTCTTAAGTACAACATCTGAACAGCGAATTTAGCTGTGGTAAGCATAATATAAACAGTATATTGCACTGGATTATTAGTAAATAATGCACCACCTTAAATGTGCAATAAAAAAAAACTCTTAAAGCACTCATACCCTTCTCGTCCTGTTTGGCACACTCAGAGAAGATGTCCTGCTGGCCCGTGTTGATGCGATCTCTGTGGAAATAATGAGACTGAAAGAAACGTGTCCAGAACTCCTTCTCCGTCATGTTGTGAGGAACGTTCTCTGCGTATTTCTGCTTGACTGCAAATAAAAACAGAAAGAAACAGAAATCAACACATTTCTAGCATTATTTATAAGCCGAAAATCTTAGTCAAGTACGCAGTCATAATTAAGGGAATACAGTTTCAATATTTACCTGTTTTATCATATCTATTTTTATTGACTGAGACAAGCTCAATGATAAATGTAAACAATATGTAAATGTTCTGTGTGAAAAGGGAGTGAAATTACATATTTTGTAGGACAGGCTATCGTAATGTTTAGACCGAATGTTTGACTGGACGAACTTTTCTTGATCCCACACCTTCCACAGAATATTAAATCATGCATAAATACACTTGAGAAACTTGATTTCAAGGGGACCTATTATGGACAAAAATCACTTTTATAAGGGTTTTGAACACAGTTGTGTGGTAATAGTGTGTAAATATAACCAACTTGTAATAGTAAAATTAATTAACTGTATTTTTCATAATCAGATTGCAGAAACATTTTCTCCCTTTGTGCATGTCATCAGAAGGGAAAAGCCCCGCCCACTAGTGACCATCTCTCCCTCATTAGCATATGATAATAGTCTTGTTTATGGATCTACCACTATGCTGACACATTGGCATGTGTAGCTCTGCCCTGTTTTAAAAGCAGCACAATCTGATTTGAATTTAAAGCGACAGTCACCAAAACGCCACAATTCGGATCAAAGCCTAAAAGGAGCAGATTCAAAAAGTTATACAACATTATTTGTGTGGTATTTTGAGCTGAAACTTCACACACACGCTCTCTAGAGACATCAGAGACTTATTTTACATCTTGTTAAAAGGGGTATAATAGGTCCCACTTAAAGACAATGCATTTAATACGGAAAGCTATCAGTTTTTCAGGCACAGACCCAGTCAGTGTTTACAATGATTACAGTGATAGATTAAATAAGACCTTATTATTTGTCTTACCTGTAGGGTAAGTCCTGAAGATCGACTCGATGATGTCAGAGGTCAGATTGTACCGCAGGCCATTACAGCCGTCTGTCTGTGGTCTGATGTCGGCCTGTAACCACGAGGTTTACAAATGCTCTCATTAAACTGTCTGGGTTAAGAGAATTCTGAGAATAGTTTCTAAACACATTAGAAGTGTACTGCTGAAACACATTGCAAATAACTGTGAGAGCTGAACTGCAAAACATTTTTTCATCAATTCTGTGCTTAGGATTTTTGGGGCAGGGCTAAAGCTGTGGTTCAATTAGCATGGCTCCGCCCCTAACACTATAATAACTACTGCTTATTAGCGTAATTGGCTCTACTGCTCAATCTTCTTCCTTACTTCATTACTTGATTCTTATTGGTCAGTCGCGACATTAAAAGATGTTATTCCCAGATAACAACCGCTGAATAACACAAACTCATCCGGGTTCATCAGATCATTTTGAGTGATAGTTAATGTGTTTACATCCATATTTTAATAATATTTAGAACTGTTGTTGTGACTTAATAATACGTAGGTTAGTCTATGCTCCATTCAGCAGTTTTCATTTCTGTCAGCATTGTTTTAATTAAAATAATAATAAACTATTACAGCTCCAAACTACGTTTTGTGTCTGGTTTTTATGTTTCGTGGCAATTAACCGCCTAAAAAGCAGAATAAAGCACGTCTGTCCGGCTTTATTTTGCAATAACAAATGCCTGGATGTACTTTATTTGTATATTGTAATGTCACCTCACCAGAACTTTAATCTCGTGATGTATTTCAACTCACCAGGAAGGCAGCAGAGATGCCCACTTCCTGTACGTTATTACTGGAGGGCGAGTGATCCACTGAATTGAGGCTCATCCGATTGGCCCAGAACTCCTCAGCGCTGATCACCTGACTCACCACCAGGTCCTTATAGAGCTGGAACAGGACGGGGTCTTCCTGCAACATCCTAAAACAGAAAACATCTGCAGGTCAAGCAATGTAAATAGATTTAATGATGCTATCGACTTTTTTTACTTTGCCCCATAATGCACAGAATGGCCAGAAGATTTGATTAGAAGCTAAAGTATAAGGTGACGTCAAAAAAAAATTGGGGTTAACTTAAGGGGTAATGCTAATGAGACAAATTCAAATTTAAAACACAGCCATCATGTGAGGAAAACAGTGGAAAGTGAAACATGCTGAGCGTCACCTGTTCTTCTCCTCCAGCTCTTTATTGGCCTTCTTCTTGAACTTGGGCAGGAGCTGCTGGAGAAGCTCTTTGGCGGCTTCTCTATCCTTCAGCGCTGTGCTCTCATTGGCGAAGTGAAAAGTGGTGTTTTCTCCTGTGTGCAGAACCAGCTGAAGCTGAATCTTGGCTTTACCGTCAGGACTGATCTTCTGGCCTGCAGAAGAAGACAGAAAATGAGGACTCTTATACTGTTGATAAAAACAAGCTACAAAGCAAACTGTTTACCAAGGCTTGGTGAAAAGTGATATCTATGAGATTAAAACCATAATTATGACAAAGCTGTGACCAAAAAATAGAGGTAAACAGTTAAAATAAGTTGAATTACAAAATAAAAGTCTTTATTAAAAGTTTTGAAGATTGCAAGATTAAGAAATAGGTCAAATTAAATGATACAGGTTTAAAATATGAGATAGAAAAATCATAATTATTGCATGAAAGTAAAAAAAAGAAAGATGCAGGTCTAAATGATGAGATATAAATAAAAAAATCTTAAGTATTGCATAAAAGTAAACATAAATAATTATTATTTTGTATACACATAAAGCCTTTATACAAACAAGCATATACATATTTTATATTTATATTTACAATTTAGTTTATATATTTAGTTTATATTTATATTTAGTTTATATTTACAAATTAAATATTTAATACAATATATAAAAACATAAATGTTTGGCAAAGATTAATTCGGATTAATTGCATCCAAAATAAAAGTTTATTTTGACATAATATATATATATGTGCGTGTTATATATATTTATTATGCACATGTGATACAAAGTCATACAAAAAAACTATGCAAAACTTTCACATAGATATTTAAATTTACATATATTTTGTATCATATACATATATATTACATTAGAAAAAAATAAATAACATTGTCTTAAATATTTGCATGCATGTGTGTAAACACATAAACACTGTGCGCACACATACATCACATTAAAAACGTTTATTATGACCGTGATTAATCTTTGACCAGCACTAATACATATATATATATATGTACATATTATTTTGTATGCTATACATACACATCATTTTTGCACAGTGAATGCACATGCATTATGCAAATACAAACTTTAATTTGGATGTGATTAACCCTTTGATATCCCTCATTTTAACACATCGGTGAACACAAATGAGGCTGCAGCTTCTGAACTATGAAGGAAACTCACAGCGGATGTCGGCGTAGAGGTGGCTGACAGTGAAGCGGTCTTTTCCCTCAGGTCCCCAGGCGATCCTCTCAGCCATAAGGTACAGTGTCCCGTCCTGTTTCCTCTGACGTACCCTCTTCACCACCAACAACACCTCCTCGGACAGAGACGCCATGACTGCAGAGAGAAAGAAAAGAAATCAGATTCGTGTTCACATTAACAATGACAACAGATTCCGAATAAGACATTAAATCAGATTCTGACTAAGGACAGACATTGAATCAGATCATGCTCAAAATTTTTTATTATTACTAATAAATTCAGATCAGATAGGACTAATTCCTATTAAAACATGATATGAAATTAAATTATAAATATGAACAGATATTAAATCAAGTCACTCTTTAAAAAAAGAATCAGATTCAGATCAATACAATAAAACTCAACACATCAGAACGGATATCACATTCAGACAAGGAAAAAACTGATTCAGATTAAAACTAAATATTGAATCTAATTCTGAATCAGAACAGATATTACATTAGATCAAACTCAGAAAACTGAATTCAATTCAGATAGGACAGATTCAGATTAAAACATGATATGAAACCGGATTATAAATGTAAACAGATATTAAATCAGTTCATTCCTGAACAAAATTAATCAGATTCAGAAAAAAATAGATTCACATTTAAATTAAATATTAAATCTGATTCTGAATCAGAACAGATGCTACATCAGATCAGGAAAAAATCTGATTCAGACTATAAATAAATTCATTCAGAGTAAAACTCAATACATCAGATCAGAAAAAAATTATTCAGATTCAAACTAAATATTAAACCTGATTCTGAATCAGAACAGATGCTATATTCGATCAGGAAAAAATCTGATTCAGACTATAAAAAAATTGATTCAGAGTAAAACTCAATACATCAAATCAGAAAAAAAATGATTCAGATTCAAACTAAATATTAAATCTGATTCTGAATCAAAACAGATATTGAATCAGATCATGCTGATAAAAAATGTAATTCAATTCAGATTAGATAGGACAGATTTAGATTAAAACATGATATGAAACTGGATTATAAATTAGAGCAGATATTAACTTAAAAATGAAATCAAATTCAGATCAGAATGTGATATTACAGATTTAGATTAAAGATCAGATTGGGAAAAAAAGGTTCAGAGTAAAACCCAACATTATGCCTGATTCTGAATCAGGACAGATATTAAGTCAAATTAGACTCAGAAAAAAATTAAATCTGATTCAGATCAGAAAAAAACTGATTTAGATTAAAAACTAAATATTAATCTGATTCTGGATCAGAACAGATACTGAATCAGATCACGCTCAGAAATAAATAATCATCGAATTCAGATATAAATTATATGAAACCCATTTATAAATTTGAACAGATGTGAAACCAGGTCACTTATAAAAATAAATGAATTAATAAATTAAATCTGATTTAACTTTTGTTCTTTAAAAACTATTTTTTAAATATTGCATTTTAATCTGAATCATCTTTCTGAATCAGATCAGACTTAGAAAAAGTTGATTCAGATCAGATGTGAGAGATTTAGATTAAAAAGCAATATTAAATTTGGTTATGAAGAAGAACAAATATTAAATCAGATTACACAGAAAAATATATCAGATTCAGACAGATTAAACATGACAAATTTAGATAAAAACTCACTATTATAGATTCTGAATGAGAATAAAAGACATTTAAGCAGATATGATGACTTAACAAGCAGATTGTGACTACAAATCAAATAAAATCAGATTCAGAAATGATTCGATAGATTCAGATTAAGCCACAGTAGCATTTTTTTTATTATTCATACCTGATATTACATCAGATATTACAACAGGTTCAGTTCAGATTAGATTCAGACATGTAAATTTGATAATAAATACCCAGTAATTAATTTTAGAATCAGATTCAGACCAGAAATAAAACTCAAAATGACAAAATATACAGATAAGTATGGGACATGAACCAGACATAAAAGATTAGGATTCAAATTCAACATTAAATCAGATTAATATAAGAAATGAAATCACATTTCACAAGTTCAGATAAGACAGATTAATTCAGATCTATCAGATTCAGATCAGAAACTAGCTAAGACTAGCACTACCCTAGCACACAACACGCACTCCCCTCAAAACCTTTATCAAAGTAAATTAACAAACGCAAAATCTCAGCACACGTGAAAAAGAGATACCAAACAAACGTTTTATACAGTAAGAGACATCTTAAACACATTTTGAACACATTTAAGTGAGATTAATCTGAAGTGTGCACCTGTAAACTGAACTCATGCTCGCAGCCGGTGACTTTAAACCACTGTATTATTTCTACACAATAAACGCTCACCTGGCGCTCCAAAGCTGCTGAAGCCGAAGCCTCAATATTGATCTCGTGGTAAGCGAAGTGAAATCAGTGTAAATGACAGTATTTGTGTTTTATTTACAGTGGTTACGGACGCCGTTATTGACAGCAGCCCTCAGATCCGCCATAGAAACCAAGTGAAGCAGGAAACGCGACGCGCTTCCTTCTAATGGCTTCAGAGCAGATGTCAAAATTAAAGTTTTAAATAAGGTATATAATATAATATAATATAATATAATATAATATAATATAATATAATATAATATAATATAATATAATATAATATAATATAATATAATATAATATAATAAGTATGATTAATTCTATGTCATTATTATTATCGATTGTATTTTATTTCTAAACGTATTTCATTTACACTTTTATTTTGACAGCAGACATCGGTTTGGCTTCCTCACAACTTTTCGTGCACAAAAGCAACTGACAGTTCTTTGTGTTGATCAAAGTAAGTCAATGAGTTGGTTTGGCTTTGGGTTTAATGGTTTTGGTCAGATCAGTCGGGCAGATGTGAGCGGACAGGTGAAGTGTAAAGTGAACTCACCTGTGCTGATATCAGATGATGAGTGTAAATCTGGTGTGAACAGATCAGACCGCAGAATCAGAGCCTGCTGGAGCTCCAGAGCTGATCTTCAGCAAACACAATGTAAGTCAAACACAAGGGGCAAACCTATTTTCTCTGACATGTTTTTTTTTCTTACTTAGTTTTTATATATTATAATTCACATAAACTACATTTAATCCGTAATACAATTTTATACACTTATAATATATGTCTATATGTTTAGAAACTGTCTGATGGTAAATCATACTAAACGTTTACTATTTTAGGACCGTTAGGATTACCTATATGATTTGCTTTTGCTAAATGCCAAAATAACGAGATAATTTTTTATTAATTAATTACTAGACAGTTAAAAGTTCACACACATTTCCTTTTTTAGCTTTGTTTTTTAACTGTATAACTTTGCTCAAAAGTTTTGGGTCTCCTTCCACAAGCTTCTCACAATAGTTTACAGGAATTTAGACCCATTCCTCCTGATAGAATTGGTGTAACTGAGTCAGATTTCATGGCTGTCTTGCTCACACAAGCTTTTCAACTCTGCCCACAAATTTTCTATAGGATTGAGATCAGGGCTTTGTGATGGCCACTCCAAAACATTCACTCTTTTGTCCTTAAAGCACATTTGAACTAATCTGGCAGTATGCTTGGGGTCATGGTCTGTTTGAAAGACCCATTTGTGGCCAAGTTGTAATTTCCTGACTGATGTCTTGAGATGTTGCTTCAGTATTTCTACATAATGTTCTTTCTTCATGAGGCCATCTATGCTGTGAAGTGGACCAGTCCCTCCTGCAGCAAAACAGCCCCACAACATGATGCCGCCGCCCCCATACTTCACAGTTGGGATGGGGTTCCTAGGCTTGTAAGCTTTCCCCTTTGTCCTCCAAATGGTCATTATGTCCAAACAGTTCAATCTTAGCTCCATCAGAGCACAGCACATGTCTCCAAACATTAGTCTTTTCCCAGTGTAATTCAGCTAATTGTAATCCGGCTTTTGTTGTTGATTCTGGCTTGTTGATTTCCCCATGTTGTCACACAAGGAAGCAGTGTGTTTGAAGTTTTCCTAAAATACTATTCTACTGTTGTGCCTCCAATAAACTCAAATGTTGTCAATTAGCCAATCAGAAACTTCCAAAACCTCGACACCATCATCTGAGCTTTCCAGAGGCAGAATAATCTTATTGTGTGTAAACTTGACTTTCAAGAAAAGTTATAACAATTTCTCAAACAATCTCTCTCTCATTATTCTGCTATTAAGCACAACAGAAACACATGTGATCATCCTAGCTTACCTTAAAGAGAAAAAGTTTGGTCACATTAACATCTGACCTTTTTTAAATGGTTATGTGCCTTTTTATAGTGCATGTAAACTTCTGCTCTCAACTGTACTGTAATTTTTGTGGACTTTTTATTTTACTATATTATATAAATTGTGTATATAATTCAAACGTCTAGTTCACAAAATTGCAATATAATTTAAGTAATCCAACAATGTGACCACAAAAAAAAAAAACTTGTCACCTTTTTGTAAAATGTTTTTAAACTCCACGTGTATATGTGTGTATATATATATATATATATATATATATATATATATATATATATATATATATATATATATATATATATATATATATATATATATATATGTGTGTGTGTGTGTGTGTGTATATATATATATATGTGTGTATATATATATATATATATATATATATATATATATATATATATATATATATATATATATATATATAATATTATTTATATATATTTATAAAATATATAATATATATATATATATATATATATATATATATATATATATCTTTCATCATGGCAAAGATAAAATAAATCAGTTATTAGAGAAGTTATTAAAACTATTATGATTAGAAATGTGTTGAAAACATGATCTCTCCATTAAACAGAATTTGGGGAAATAAATTAACAGGGGGGCTAATAATTCTGACTTCAACTGTATATATACACACAGACACATATATTTATAAATATAAACACAGAAATAAATAAATAAATATGCTGTTGTTTGTGTTTCAGCTGGCAGTGGTGTGTATTTGTCAGGGTGTGTGTGTGGACCGTCAGCTCAGGTGTGTGCGAGTCAGGGCTGCACAGACGCTCTCATCAGCGAAACACACCTGACGCTCAGCTTCACAGACAGAGTGGAATTATGGGAAATAAAACCGCAGCAAAACCAGCTGGTGTGGAAGAGGGAGCACGAGCTCTCAGGTAAAACTGCTGATATACTGGTGTCTGTTATTGCTGTGAGAATTCTGTGCGTTTTATCCAAATCAGAAAGAGCTTTATTGCCAGGTATGTTCACATTATGCTGTTAAATAAGTGTATATGTGTATAGCAAGTAAAGTGTTCATGAGATGGATTACCTAAGGGGAAGAAACTGTTTCTGTGTTGGGGTGTTCTGTAGCGTCGACTAGAAGGTAACAGTTCAAAGAGGCAGTGTGCTGGGTGTGAGGGGTCCAGAGGGATTTTGGCAGCCCTTCTGCTCACTCTGGATAAGCAGAGTTCTTTGAGAGTAGGGAAGGTTGTACCAGTGATTTGCTCAGCAGTCCAAACTAATCAATGTAGTCTTCAGAGGTCAGATTTGGTAGTTGAGCTAAACCAGACAGTTATTGAAGAAATGGTGATGATGATGATGATGATGATATTGAGTGTTTCAGCAGAACACACTGCCGCTCTGCCGCTGGTGTCCGGCGGCTTCGTCCAACACAAACCTCCTTTCTTCCATCCTCTGAAACTGTGTGCTGTGAGTCTGGTGTTGGGATCTGAACATGCACTGCTGCTGACTGCAGACGGGACGCTCTATTCATGGGGGTCCGGAAGGTACTAGGAAAACTTTACATGGTTTTAACAGTGAAGAATCCTTCTGAAGTGATGATTCTCATGTTGATAATATATTTAATAATTGACTATTATATTACTGTAAAATGCTGTCTTGTCATCTAATGAACATTTAACTATTAAAGCTAAATTGATTGAATAAAGTGACGAAAGCTATGAATAATCAATTATAATAACTGTAATAGATATTATTATAGTATGTTCTGTTTCTGCAGTCATGTCTGTGCTCTCGGAAAACCGTATATAACGATTTTAAACTAACTTTAAGGCTGTGAAAACACTTGCCGGTATTTGTTTGTTATTACCAGAGTGTCTGAGGCACGTGCTGTATATGCTCCGCCCTCCATTGAATGGGGGAGGGGAGCAGCGGCAGCTCATTTGCATTTAAAGAGATGTACCCAAGAAAAGCCTGCTTTTTCCTCTCATTCCTTCTCATTATAGACCATTTTGAGAGATGTAAACCATAACAATAGTCCTAATGCATTTCCTGTTTTCCATTTTTCATTCCCATCGCTCCCGAGAATCCTAAAACATCCACATATTGATAATGTTATAACGGCTGTTTTACCGCTGGGATATGATTATATTGCCTCTTGTTAGAGTTATTAATAGTTTGACAACAAGCAGGAAATGCTCATGGACCAATAACATCCACCACATTAAAAAGGTCTACATAATAATCTAACAACCAGCATATATAAAGGCTCCGCCCTCTTCTGGAATGGGGCGGGAACAGTTATTAATTTAATGTAGACTTTTTTTTTTTCTTTTTCTTTTTTTGCTGAAAATATTTTTTTTAAACAGTCATGGTCAGCTGGGTCACGGCGTTCTGACTTCACTGGAGGATCCGCAGGCGGTGGAGGCGCTGTGGGGCGTCCCGATCAAAGCAGTGGCTGCTGGGAACTGGCACTCGGCTGCCGTCAGCTGTAAGATTTTTCCTCAAACACCCATATAAAATGTAGACGTTTGCTTGCTCATACTGAGTGAAATGTGTGTGTTTAGCCGGTGGAGATCTGTATATGTGGGGATGGAATGAGAGCGGGCAGCTCGGACTGCCATCTAGAGGCCTGGAGGAGGAAAAGCGCAGAGGAAACGGCAGTGGTAAAAGAACCATATGCACTAAAAAATGTTGACAATTGTTAAAAGTTGATGCAAGTTTTAAGGTAAGGTAAGGTAAAACTTTATTGTCCCAGTTAGGGAAATTTGTCTTGGGCTCTTGCCCCCAGCTGCAGTCATCACAACATGGACAAAACAATGCAACATACAAAACACAAATAGATAGTTCAATGAAAGTTACAAGCCTCATTCCATAAACACATATATATGCAAACTAAATACTCTCAATCTAATCTAAGCCACCACTATTATTTAATAGCTTAATGCTTGTAGGATAAAAATAATTTTTATATCTGTTTAATCTACAGTAAGGTACTCTGAATCTTTTCCCCGAGGGTAACAACTCATATTCCTTGTGCAGAACATGTGATACGGCACGAACAATTTGCTTAGCACACCTTAATGCCTCCTGTTCATACATATCCTGCAGTGAAGTCAGCTCTGATACACCTATAATTTTCCAGGCAGTGTGAATTAAACGAACTACTTTAGATCCCAGCTGCACAGACAAGTTGCCGAACCAAGCTGTGATGCCGTACCTTATCAAACTTTCACACACAGCCTTATAGAACATGATCATACATTTCTGATCCACTCCATAAATTCTTAGACGTCGTAAAAAAATACAGTCGTTGCTGAAGCTTACTACAGATATTATCAACATGTATATGCCATTTTAGTGAGTTATCGAAGAAGACACCAAGATATTAATACGAAGTGACCTGTGTGATGGTTTGAGTTTTGATGGTCACAGGCCTATGATCACCAATTCCTCTAGGGTCAAACACCATCTCTTTTTGACCCTAGAGGAATTGGTGATCATAAGGGGGTCTTATTATCCAGTGGGAGTTTATATCAGTAACAATGCTTCCCAATACCAATAATTCACAAAATGCCCTCTGTTTCAAGCTGATCCTTGATTTATATCTCAGAAGTTGAAACCGGGAAGGCCTAAAATGAATGTATTTTTCGAGTCAGTATCCGATGCTGTAGAGCAGGGGTCACCAAACTTGTTCCTGGAGGGCCGGTGTGCTACAGATCTTAGCTCCAACCCTGATCAAATACACCTGAACAAGCTAATCAAGGTCTTACTAGATATACTTGAAACATCCAGGCAGGTGTGTTGAAGCAAGTTGGAACCAAACCCTGCTGGGACACCAGCCCTCCAATACTGAGATTGGTGACCCCTGCTGTAAAGGCTCCAGAAAAAAAGTAATAGGAACCCTTTAAAGCAGGGGTCACCAATCCTGGTCCTGGAGGGCCGGTGTCCCTGCAGGGTTTAGCTCCAACTTGCTTCAACACACCTGCCTGGATGTTTCAAGTATACCTAGTGAGAGCTTGATTAGCTTGTTCAGGTTTGTTTGATTAGGGTCCCTATGCGATATCTAGTGTATATATCTATGGCCATACATGAATAAATATCAGTATTTGACGTCAATATGATGTTGGTTTAAGATGTTGGCTCGACGTTGGATTTTGGTCACTTTATAACACAACTTAAAATCGACGTCATTTAACGTTATTAGACGTCAAAATAACAGTATCCTTAGACGCTGACTAGACATTGAATTTTGGTCACTTGACATCACAACCTAAATCTAACCTAATATTAACGTCCTATGACGTTGTGTGCCTGCTGGGCAATAACTACATGCACTACAGAATGTTACGTTTGCACACACACACACATATTACATGTAGTACTTTTACTCTACTTGCACTACATTTTTAGGCAAGTAATGGTACTTTTACTCAAGTATGATTTTTTCAGTAGTCTTTTTCACAGCTGTCAATAAGTCTCCATCTTGATTACAGATCATGATGGATTTCTCAAAGAGGGAATAACAAAACTCTTACCTGAGACAGTGTGTGGGAGCTCGAGTGCCCAGCAAGCCACCGCTTGACGTCATTTTGACAGTGAAGTGGCGCTGTTTGATTCGTACTCGTAATCAGGTCGTCATGTCCGTGGTGGAACTGCATTTCATGTTTGTAAAGTACACCCAACGTAATTTTATCAGCCATATAAAAACAGACCAAGAAAATGTCGTATATGTGTCTGTTCAAATCGCAGATTTTGGAATTGTACCCTCGTAAAATTACGAGTACGTTCTGTTTTCCTTTACGATTTTATAATTACAGATGCGTGAATTTTATTTACGCACTAAATATTTCTGACAGCGATTTTATTCCGTAGTTTTCTAAATAAACTCTACACCAATGTTTATATAGGAATGTATTACTACCTGTTTTTCTGTTTCTATTTAGGAAATGATGACCAGCCCATAAATACAGATGGAAAGAGCAGAACAGACGTGTTTATCTCCATTCAAGCATTCCCTGCGCTAGTTGACATCGCTAACATGTCTGAGATTAGCCGGATTAGCTGTGGATCCCGTCATACAGCGGCCGTCACCAGTAAAATCCACAACATCTGAACACGGAGCACAAACTAGCGCATAAACACCAAAAATAATCACTCTTTTCTTATTTCGTTTAGGTGCTGGAGATCTGTACACATGGGGATGGGGTAAGAGTTTGCTTTCTGTTTATTATAAATGTAATTACGTACAGGAAATGAGGACAGAATTGTCAATTTTTTTATAGTGCACTGTCCCTTTAAGTACGCTTTGTGTGTTCTGATAGGTCAGTATGGGCAGCTGGGTCACGGCACTGAACACAGCACAGATGAGCCCACGCCGGTGGATTATTTCTCCTCTCACAGTTTGAGTGTCAAAGATGTTGTTTGTGGGTCGTGGAACACTTTTGTGTCCGTGGTGCCAAAGGAAACATCCTCTGTCCTGACAGAAACACACCCGGGTTTATTAAATTAGGTACAAATATATATAAGATCCAACATACAGGATAGAAAGTAGAGGTGAAAACTGCTTTCAAACATATAAACGGTAAAAATGCTTAACAAGAGAGTACATTCATAATTAGGACGCTACATTATTGGAGAGATTATTGAGGTGCAGGTGAAACATCCGGACCGGAAGCAGCAGCGGTGGAAACTTCACAACACGATCTTGAATGAACTGCAGAAAAAACATTGACAGTCAATGAGGATCTTTAGTGATTTTAGTCCGAATAAAGTTGTAGATTTTTGTGCAAAAGATGTCAATTATGTTTTATTAACTGATGCTTTGCTTGCTTTATCAATTCTGTGCTGGAAGAGAGAATGATGGCAAATTAAATTACATTCTGCAATTATCCAAG